ATTGAAAAGTAACCCTCTATCTAATATATGAGGTATCATACAAGAGTCCTGACTTAACACCCTGTAAGTTTTTTCTTTGGAGTTGGCTAAAGGAGAAAGTCAACTATGCCAAGCCAAGATTTTGGAAGAACTTAAAGGGCGAATACAAGAAGTTACGTCTTCCATACCACAAGAGCTCCTAGTGAAATCAGTTGACGCGATTCCTGGGCGGCTCGAGAAGTTGGTAGTTAAATCTGGTGTCCATGTCTAATTTTAAACAAAACTTTTGCTGAATGTTTTAGATGCTCCCGGAAATCAGGTTGGTAAAGGGGGTTTTGAAAACATCTACTCCTACTGCTATGAAGCATTACTCTTTTAAGTATGAATTGAGATCTCCGAGGCGCTGGAGTATTTCGTATGGAGAAAAACTTTAAAATGTCCTTCTTTTCTGTCGTGCGACTATGGCCTAGTGGTAAGATATATCTGACTGATGTCAAATCAGTCGGGTTTTGATCAATGAATCAATCGGATGTCTAGCCACACTGAGGAGGTGTGATACAGCGAAACAGTCTGTCAGTGGATGACTATATATATATATATATATATATATATATATATACAGTATTTACATTAGTCGGACTATTGTCCTCATCTTTGTCGCTATATTTGTCACAACGTTTCGGCCGTTGTACGCTCCGGCCTTCTCCAGGTCGTTGGAAGTTTGAACTGAACCCTTTATTTCGATCACTGGGGTAGACTGTTCTAGTCTAGTTCCACGTGCCATATTTGATGGATGTCAGTTATCAGTTATCTCCTGCTAATTTTCCCTCTGAAAGTTCTCCACTGCCTTAACCAGGTATTGAACTCACCTTCTTTGGGTCTATCACTGGATCTAACCAACGCCTTTATCCATATGTGCCATGTGTCCTTGAGGAAACGTTGTGACAAATATGGCGACAAAGATGAGGACAATAGTCCGACTAATGTAAATACTGTACATAATACCTCATCTCACAAATATAGACATATATATATATATATATATATATATATATATATATATATATATATATATATATATATATATATATATATATATATATATATATATATATATATATATATATATATATATGTGTGTGTGTGTGTGTGTGTAAATGTATGTGAAAAGTGTGTGTATATGGATATAGATGAATATGTGTATGTGTGGATATGTGAATATATTTTTATATGTATGTACATGGGTATATGTATGTGTGTATGTGGGTACACGCCTATGTGTATGTATATACGTGTATATGTTATTGTGTATGTGTGTATTCGCATGTGTTTTTGAACATAGAAATATAGGTCCTTGCTGGATTAGATAATCGTTATATTTATTTTTATATGTTTATATTTGATTTGTAACCTGTAGTCGATATTAAATTTGTCAAATTTTCTCAAGCGGCCCTTTTAAGTAAACGCAATTTTACTTTCCTTCGCCCCATCTCTCTCCCCCCACCTCGTCTTTCCCTCCCTCTTATTCTAACATTAGATTGTCTATGGTGTGTGTATGTCACCACGAAATGTAGCTTTATGCATTAGACATCCGACAACATTCATTTTTCTCTTACTTAAACCCCTTCCACCCACCTCTCCTAAAATTCTCTCTGTTAAGGTTTGATCTCCCTCCTCCTCATACTTACAGTCTCTCTAAAGTCTGTTTTTATTTCAGGAGTTGTTTTTTCTGTTTTCATTTTGAATTTGTAGGTCTGATGAATTGGATCGTATTTACGATTCCAATGGAATAAATTATGACCATGGAATATTAGTGTTTAAGCCTTTTTATTATATCCTTACTCTGTCCTGGACATTGAGTTCTACCTGGATTCTTCCTCTTTGAATTTTTATTCAAAAAATATACATGTATGGGTATTTATATATTTTGCATATGTATGTATATTTACCACTAATATTATCGATATATATATATATATATATATATATATATATATATATATATATATATATATATATATATTTATATATTATTTGCTTTGAGAAAGTCCCACATTAGACGAAACGCGTCTATATATATATATATATATATATATATATATATATATATATATATATGTGTGTGTGTGTGTGTGTGTGTGTGTGTGTGTGTGCAGAGAGAGTGAGGGCAAGCGTTATAAGTGAAAAGTAACATAATATTAATTAAGAAACATACTTCGCATATATCAGTCAGTATATAGTTATATACTTATATATACTTTTATTATATACTTTATTATTATATACTTTATTATATACTATATATATATTATATTATACTTATATACGCATGTATGACATTCTCACTTGAGAAAACTTAAATGACATTTCATAATATTGTGCTAAAGTCTGCATTAATGGAATCCGTATACAATGTCAAATTATGATTCGTACTTTTGCCGTGTAAATTTATAGTTGTACAAGTTGCATTTCCTGGAAAGATGTAACCATTAAGACATTTTGTACTATTTAATTGTGATAGACTTGGAATGTTTCGTGACTGATAAATTAAATCGACGATATCGGTGAAATACCAGAACACTCCAGCTTATCTATCTTCACAGAGCTTCCAAAAAAGCAGGTGCATGTGATTTCCAACTTTATTGGTTAAACCAAATGATCTTCATAAATATCTTAAAAACTAGGATTCTAATAAACATCGTGTAGGTCATTTTGACCAAAAATAGGACAAACACAGTGGAACTTTGTCCAAAATATGTGGACTTGAATGGCTATATCTGTTATCAGAATGCTATCACAACCAGCATTACAACAGTAGAATTATTTATATCTATGTAGGATAGATTAGTAATTGAAAATATACTTAAAATATTAGAAGAGCTTGATTTATACGGTATAGTATTAGAGTAGTAACATTACTGTAAACCTTACGTGTGGACAAAGAAGGATTTCAGTGAATGCACAAAAATAAGAAGATGAGTAATGTAAGGATGCGTTTTCTAGACGGGTTTCATTGGAGATCTTCTAAAATGCTTCAAAATTACGGCCATTTTGCTAAGCAAAAATGACGTGATCATCCTTGAATACTGAAGCTCAAAGCTATTCAGAGACAGAATATGACAGCAACAACGCAACTAAAAAAGAATCTAGAAGACAAATGCAGGGAAGTCTGACTGATCAAGTTTAAAATCGATAGATATTGGGAAATTATTAATCTAAAATCATCCACTCAAATGGTGCATACCAATGTTTGGAATAATTCCCAGTTCTAGTTATTTCAGAAAATATAATCAAATAATCACACATCAAAATCCTTTTCTGTAAGGACTCCCTAGTTGTCATATCCCCCTCGTTGATAAATAATATAAAAAGCGTTAACCAAAATAATTCTAAACAGGTATATATTATACGTTGTTGAGTTATTTTTTAAACATTTCACCAAGCAAGGCAGAAGTTCCACTAGCACGCAAGAGGTTACAAAGACTGAAAGTAAGAGTAAAGATGGGTGTTTGAGGAAAGAATATAGAGAAGGATCACGATCAAGGCATCAGAAGATGTCGATTGACATTACATTTAAATATTTGAAGATTATAGTTGTCAGGGAAACAAGTAAGAAGAAGGGAGTTCCACTGTCGAGAAGTGTGAGAGAAGCAACTGTTGGACTAGAAGAAACGTTTACATTTAACTGTTTTGTCAGTGAATGTTTGGGACCTACACTCCAACCCAGCAGCACGATTAAAATCACGGAGTCGGGGTGCCAGTGAAGATAACTCGTCAGAGCAGTTACTATGAAAATATTTGTAGAAAAAACAGAGGGAAGCCACATTACGTCGGTGAGAAATTGACTGGAGTCGAGATGCCAGGTCAGGACCTATCACTTTTGGATTTTGTCGAGAACATCGAGAGGAACAGCGGGGGCACCAGACCATATATGGCAACAGTATTCAATGCAAGTACGAATGGTAGATTTGTAGATTCGAAGGATTGACTCAGACGAGAAAAAACCCCGGACACGATACAGAGAAACAACTTTCCTTCATGAAGCTATTGATTCCATGTAGTTGCTGTCTGTTGAAAAACTGAGACTAAGAAGGCGAAGTGAGATGTTCTCGTGATGTAAATCCTCAGCCATGCTGATAGGAGGCAGGAAAGTTTCTTCATGGTGGTTAAATAAGAGCAGTTTCGTTTTGGGGGCATTAAAGTTTACAAGGCATTTCCTGCCTCGATCAAACACACATTAGAGGTACTTTTTGAGACCCTCGGCCAGGTTAACTTTGTCAGCAATGCTGAATTTACTATTTAGACAGGATTAAATGGTAGTATCGTCTCAGTAAATGCCGACTTGAGAACTGATGACGTCAGGAAGATCATTGATGAAGATCAGAAACAGCTTAAGATTTGAATTAAGAATGAAATTATGATGGAAGTGAAGTTGAATAAGAGAGACATTATCATGAATTTAAAAGAGAAAAGAATTAACCTGAAAATACCTTTAACAAAAAACAAAGTTTGAGAAAAAAGAATCTGATGCAAAAAGAATCTGAAAGTATATAGTCCAAAAAATTGATTCAAATAAATATTAGCTTGAAAATTTGCCAAATATATTTACATGTTGCAGGAGCCTCTCTTACCTGATAGAGATGAGAGCGAGTTTTTTTGTTTTTTTTTAAAGTTGTAGCCATGAGCTACAATCTGCGTGCAACGCAACTGGCTTTCGCCGATGAATGCATCGAAGTGTTGAGAGATTAGACATGAATATCATTGGCAAAACGTGAACAGAATGAAAGAAATGTTACAAACTTGTAATGATGATGGAGAGTTCACCTCCAAAGTATGGCGTCTTATATCTGGATAAAGAGGTATTTGTACTGTGTAACTTATCCAAAACATGGCACGCTACTCGAAATAACATACGAGGAAGAGTGCTAGTAATAAATGGTCGATAATAAGTTTCCATGGAAATATATTTTATTTCTTATTTCAAAGCGATCATAAACTTTTGAACACCTAAATTTAGACTTATGTATTGTGTTTTCTCCTTCAAAGTGTTTTATATCTATCTATCTATCTATCTATCTATCTATCTATCTATCTATCTATCTATCTATGTCCTATATATGTCCATATCTATCTCTGTTCCTACCTTTCTTTTTGTCTCTTAGACTATTAATGTTTATGTATGTATCTTAGCCTGTTTGTATCTATCTTAGCTTGTTCATATTTATCTATCTTAGTCTGTACCAACCTGTCAATCTATCTTAGTCACATTTCTATCTATCTATCTATCTATCTATCTATCTATCTATCTATCTATCTATCTATCTATCTATCTTTCCTTGTTCCTATCTACCTATCTTAGTCTGTTCCAATCTATCTATCTATCTATCTATCTATCTATCTATCTATCTATCTATCTATCGTACCTTATTCCTATCTACCTATCTTAGTCTGTTCCAATCTATCTATCTATCTATCTATCTATCTATCTATCTATCTATCTTACCTTCTTCCTATCTTCCTATCTTATTGTCTGTTACAATCTATCTATCCATCTATCTATCTATCTATCTATCTATCTATCTATCTATCTATCTATCTTACCTTGTTCCTATCTACCTATCTTAGTCTGTTACAATCTATCTATCTATCTATCTATCTATCTATCTATCTATCTATCTATCTACAGGTTTTATTCAGTGAAAGCCATTTTAAACCATTGATCTGAGAAAGCAGTCGTACACAGAGTAGAGTTTACATATTTCTGAAACAGTTTGATGTGATACATATGAACGTTTAATTTTATTTAAGAATGGAGATACTGGAATTAAGCAAGTGCTGAAATTTAAATATCTGGGAATTTTTTAAACAGATGACGGAAAGTGTGACACTGAAATTCGAGGGCGAGATAGCCAAAGATGTCTTCCACAAGCTAGGCAGAATACTAAGAAATAGAAAGATCTTGCTAGAAACAAGGAAACAAATACTAAACTGTTACGTGATATCTGCACTTCTGTATGGCAAGATGTGCTGGACAATCTCTTGCGAGATGAAGAAAAGATTTGAAGCACCAGAAATATGGTTCTACAGAAGGATGCTAAAAAAATCGTGGACCGAACATGTGAGCAACGACGAAGTTTTAGAGAAAATGGATGCAAAACAGAAACATATACTTAAGGTCAGGAAGAGACAGATGACGATTTGGAGGCATCAAATTTGGAAGGAATGTTTGAAATGTCTGATACACACACGACAGATTAAAGAACAAGTCGGACATAAGAAGACAATACATAACATATTGAGTAAATGGATGGCGGAACAGGGTTTAAAAGAAATAAGAGCAAAACAAAATTTATGAAGAGCTACAATAGACAGGAAGTTCTGAAGAGCCATGGTCGCCTACATTATGAGGAGACACGGTACATAAAGACGAAGACTAAAGATTTAATGGTCGATGAGGAAGTAGTATCCATGGCCTTCAAGAGGGTGTCAAACGTGGTGCTATCGTATTCCAAACCAAAATATTTTCCCTACTTCACAGACCTGAATGTCGAAATACGATCCTCTTTCTTAGTCAGACAAACGATAAATATTAGATTTAATGTTTTCTCCAAGTTCCAGAGCATCTAGACGAATAATGTTTCTCTTATCCCAAAGGACATTGTGCGTCATTTTACCAGATGATCGTTGAAAATCTTTCCGAAATAAATTTTAGCCGAACTTTTTTTTCAATTAGTATCAATCTACAATTTAATAAATAACGTGGAAACAATTACCAAGAAGGTTTATATTCCTACAGATTTTAATTTACCACTTCAGGGTAATTTCTTTATCAGGCATTCAACGATTTTCTCTTTAATTTTTAGAACAAATATTTTATATCGGCATATACGCCAGTTGTGTATGTATTAGCACAATTGTAATCATCATAGATAATAAAATGTATAATGCTAATGTTAGATAGACAGACAGACAGGCAAACACATAGATAGATAGATAGATAGATAGATAGATAGATAGATAGATAGATAGATAGATAGATACTAATTATTGTAGCTGAATTCTGAATTCTGGAAAAGAGGATTACAAATTTGATCCCTTGCACAAACACGAAGGAAGAATTATTAAGGTACACGCTAAACAATCGGAACCACACATAAATGAGTTAGACACTGATAAGGTCCACATAGATAGATAGAAGTAATTATATACTGAGATAGATATATAGATAGATATAATCTAAGAAAAACAGATAAATAAACAGACAAATAGATATAAACAAGCTTAGCAAAAATGATAGATATGAATAGGTTGAGGTAGATAGACAGATAGATAGACAAATAGCTAACACACGAGGAAAATAACCATGTGGCAATGTTTAAGAAAGCATGAATTCATATTAAGTGAATTACAAAATGGCTAACATCTGGGTGGGCAAAATATTCAGATTAATAAAATATGCAAAAAAAAGAAGAAAATGTCAAGGAAAATAAACAGCGTTTGAGTCAGTGAAATAAACCAGTTAATTGAAAATCCATTCGAATGAAATGAAACAATAACAATGAAGACTTTTTTTCTTTAAAGTGTATTTACCAATTGAAATTGCTGAATTGTTTGTATTTCTTAGAGACTGAGAAAACCAGAGAATTTAAACTAATTTATGAAGACCAAGAATTAAATGCGATAAAGGCGGAAGAATCACATATATAACTACCTCTCTCTCTCTCTATATATATATATATATATATATATATGTGTGTGTGTGTGTGTGTGTGTGTGTGTGTGTATGCATGCATGCACAGGCTAACTCTCTTTCGAATGGAGGTTTCCAGAATGTCACTAATAGCGTATAATCAGCTCTCAGTTCATCCTTACTATGTTGACCAAATGTTTAAACTGTGCAGATGGGCTTTCGAGAATAACAACGAGGAAGTATGCATTGTTTAAAGGACGAATAGAAACATGTCAAGCTCTACACACACACACACACACACACACACACACACATATATATATATATATATATATATATATATATATATATATATATATATATATATATATATATATATCCAGGTATGGGATAAGAACAAATTAAGAATTCCACTGTCCGTAGCATTTAATTTTTAAAAAGGGCTCGATACTGAGCAGAGCTTAATATTATTTATGATATTTAAAAACAAATACGTTAAAATCGCTACACAATAGCTTTCATGTTTTAGCACTAAGTTGTGCCTCCTCAGGCGATGGTAAATAACTGGTGAGTAAATAATTAGTTTTAAATTTCAAAAGTAAAATGACTCCTCTTTTTTTTCGAAAGAGGAGAGAAGAACAAGATAAATCAAACTTAAAATAAGGCTTGTGGGTTTAACCTGATTAACCAGTTAGGTGTTAGACGTACACTAAATCCAAAGTTAACCTAAAACAAAAATGGGGAAATTTTGATCATGGTAATATGTGGTCTGAAATGTAATCTTAGACGAAGTCATCAGTGGCCTTTTTTTTTTTTGTTGGGGGGGGGTGTCTTTTTTGTACGTCGAACCATTAGCCAAACTGACTAAACATAGCATGTGGCGAAGTGGACGGCGCAAGTTCATACATAAGACATGCAAGCTTGCTGCCTGGACCGCTCTCACGTCTTGCGAGATAATTGTGAGATATATGGTATTTCGCTAGAAAGTGCTTGGTTATTGAAATTGCTACGAGTTTTGGGTACATGTGTGCCTTTACGATTCAGTGAGGAAGTACTTTGCGATTTAGAAAGACCAAAGTTATCAGCAACAGTTTTAGTGTCGGTTGGGCGTTGAACCCAAATCATCTCTCTTGTTAGACGTCCTGCTGGAAGACAGAGTAAGTCGAGTCCATTCCCCATACTTTCTGATTGTCCGCCTTCACTGTCTGTTTCATTTATTATTAACTGTACAAATTATTGTTTTCATACTATTTTACAGTTTTTCAAGTAAATTTTTTTCTGGACTACCTACTATGAATCGTACTTTTTTCTACTTTATCGAGGCGATGAATAAAAATTTCTGCTTATACTGTTGTAGTCTGATAATGTAGTATCATACCCACTTCAGCTGTCAGATATCTGACTGATCTACGGTAGATATAAAAGGAGATAAGATTTGATATTGAGGTAGTAACTACGTTTTTTTTTAAGCATTACGCCCCGAGCAAGGTGTGAAGCCACTAGGATGCAGTGGGGTTGCAGAAGATTTGGAGCGAGAGCGGATAGGAGTGATAGAAGAAAGGATGAGGAGAAGGATAGTGGGTAGATCAAGGTAACTGGAGATGTCGATTGACATTACATTTGAATAGTTGGAGATTATAGCTCTCAGGGAAACAGTAATTGGGAAGGGTGTTCCACAGGCGAGAGGTGCGAGATATGAAGCTATTGGAGTAGAAGAGACGGCTACACTTAAAATTTTCTACAGTGTAAGGTTGGGAGCGGGATGCCAGCCTCGTAGGGAGCTTGAATTCATGAAATCTGGGAACCAGTGAAAGCAGCTCATTACTTGAACTTGGTACTCCAAACATCTGATGAAGAACAAAAAAAAAACAAACTTAAGTATGATCGTGTGGTAATACGGAGGACACTTGGATGCGTAAACGAATAACAGCACATGGAAAGGTAGTTTTTAAAAAAAATCATTGCTAAGAGCTAGATAATTGCGGAGAGACACAATTGTCCACATCATGAAGGGGTACGTTACATAAAAGATGAACCTTCAAACTACACGTCATTTCTATCTATCGTCGTCGGTGAGGAGGTCTGGTGGAGAAAATCATTTGAAACCCCCTCTTAAAAATAAGTGGAACTAATTTTAGTGCGCAAACACTAAATGTCGCACAAATCGGAGATTTTCTCGGACTAATGTTAATAAACCTTTAAACTGTCGCTAGGAATTTAAAATCTATTTAACAGGACAGTTCTTTTCTTTTTCCAGTAATTTTTACTCTGTACAACGCTCAAGAGCGACTGGAGTTATAGAGTTACAGAATCAGGAGGCACCTTTTATGGGGATATGTGGAATAGATAACGGTTAACCCTAGACTTAAACAGGTTAAGATAGTAGTGATCAGAGTATCATCCTACTGAGAGTTGGTTCTGCAAAATAGTGGTTCCTGGGAAGAAACCTTTCGTGTGTAAATTCATCTCACCAATGGAATACGAAGAAAATAAGTTTTGTTCGTTACAATATGCGCGGCATGACGGGTCTTTGTCGGATTTAGAGATGATAAATCTGTGACTTATTAGATGTTATAGCTCACTCCTAGTGCTTAGATTACTCGCCCTGGCGTCATTAGAATTCTTCACGACTGATTCTAACGAACTTCTCTTGACTCACTTCTTTATTTAAGGCGTCTTGCTTAGTACATTTGTGTTACCGGGTTTGTCTTTTTTACTCCACAATAGAAGACATGCTGGAAAAGAGCTGTAACACCCGGTGATGTATTTGTTGGAGGCACTGTTCATACAGAAGGCTTTGTGTCAATGTATTTGCAATTTAAAAAATGGCACGTTCCTACGTGTATTTTAAGCAATTTGATCCACACGTACAGCCCCGTTTCTTGAAACTCTCTTTTTGTTTTATTCTATTTAAAGTTTAACTTCAGGATTTAGG